CATATTATTAGCGCCATAAAGTGCCCTTGCCGTCACTGTTCACACCAAAACCTCTAGGAAAATCCCCTAGATCGTGAAAATCAGAAGGAACAGCTGTGGCGATCATTGAATACCCCGTTTATTGGTTCGCACTTTCGCCTTGACTTTTTATGCCCATGTTCCCAATTTTTATGGGACGGTCATTTCTGATGACTTTTCCTCTTCGTTGACATTGGCCTTGTATCACCGGCAACGTATTCCATTGTTCATGCCGACTCTTATCACCGATCTTATCGGCCATGTTTCAACTTCTTAGCTTCAGCATAACAGCATTATTTCACTTGCCTATAGAGCTGCAAACATTTCTCCCACCTGAATTCAGTACCTTTATAGCTTATAATGGTTAATACCATTTATTAAATAATTGTCTCTCCAACAAAAGATGTCTTCACTATCCTTTCGTGTTGGGTCAATTATAATTTTCTCAGATTTTCAATTTTTCTTCTTCAAGCTGGGCTCATTCACCTTTTACTTTCCACATGTCGACTTTCAAGTCAGATTTCAATTGGGTTGTCCTCTAGGGGTAAATGCAACTAGAATTTTGTCTCCGAGGTAGTTTGATCTCCCGGACACAAACATCGACATCCGCTTGGCACTACGGTTGGTATCGTCGCAGTCAGTGGGGGAGGGGAGGGGTTCGTTGCTAGGAGGTATGGAATGAGGGTCACCCGTTAGGCATGATGACTTCCACCACTGGATGTTTTCTCTATGAATCGGTCACCAACCCATCAAAAATTGTAGAAAGCAAAGCTGACTCATTCCACAACTCCGACTGATTAGGACGATAGCAGCTATAAATGCTCGGTTACGGCCACGGTTTTCGGAACCAATGTCGCCTGGTCCTAGCCGTTGCTGGTGACAAAACCCTTCAAAGTGCCATTTTTCGAAATTTTCCGCTTATGTTCAGTTTAATCCTGCGGACATGAGTATCGTACCCGTAGAAAGCAAAAACACCTAGTATTTTCGCATAAACTGAGACTTAATTTAGCCTGTACCACAGGCACATTGTGGTGCGGACACCAGAAGTTTTCACGCCCAACTGATGCGTTATTCCTCATGAGAAGTTAGACTACGTCTGGAAACTCTACCTAAGGGGAGAGTTTCGATCGAATTCCAAAGTGAATTTCGAACAGTTGATAGTGAAGGGTAAATAGTGAGAGGGCCAGCTAATAACCTTCAAGGAGGGGGGATAGCGGGGTGAGAGACACTGGAGGGGCTCCTTTTGTCA